GAGAGATCTCTGTGTCTCCCCTAGACCCTTCACTTTTACTTAATAACTATGGGTCTATGAATTATAGCTTAGTTGTCATTTACTTAATGGCTAATATCCCTTTATAAGTGAACACATACCATATTTATCTTTCTGGGTCTGGGTTACCTCACTTAGAATGATTTTTTTTTCAGTTCCACATTTTCTTTATCTATTGAGGGATATCTAGGTAGTTTCTAGTTTCTGGCTATTTGATAAAGCCACAATGAAAATGATTGAGCAGTTATCCTTGTGTGCAGATGGCAAGTCCTTTGGGTATATGCCCAAGAGTGGTATAGCTAGGTTTTGAGGTAGATTCATTCCCAACACTCTGAAGAACTACCATATTAATTTCCCTAGTGGATATACAGGTTTGCACTCCCACCAGCAATGAAGACATGTTATCCTTGCTCCACATCCTCACCAGCATGAGCTGTCTCTTTTGTTATTGATCTTAGTCATTCTTACAGGTGTAAGATTGAATCTCAAAGCAGTTTTTATTTGTATTTTCCTGATGGCTCAGAACATTAAAAAATTTCTTAAAGTGTTTCTCAGCCATTTGAGATTTCCCTATTGAGAATTCTCTGTTTAGATCTGTTCTCTATTTTAAATTGTGGTTTTGGGTCATTTTTTGATATCTAGTTTCTTGAGTTTTTATATATTTTGGATATTAGTCCTCTACTGGATATGGAGTTGGTAAAAATATTTTCCTATTCTGTAGGCTACTATTTTGTCTGATTGATGATGACCTTTGCTTTACAGAATCTTTTCAGTTTCATGAGGTCCCATTTATTAGTTGTTGATCTTAGTGTTTGCGCTATTGGTGTTCTGGTCTCCTATGCCAATGGGTTCAAGGCTACTTTCTCTTCTATTAGTTCCAGTGCTTCTGGTTTTAGGTTAGATCTTTGATTCAGCTGGACTTGAGTTTTGTTCAGAGTGATAAGTATGGGTCTATTTGCATTCTTCTACCTGCAGATATCCAGTTTGACCAACACCATTTGTTGAAATGCTATCATTTTCCCATGTGTATTTCTGGCTTCTGTATCAAAAAGCAGGTGTCCATAAGTGACATTTATGTCTAGGTCTTCAATTTCATTCCATTGATCAATGTGTATGTTTTTATCCTAATATCATGTGGATTTTATTACTATTGCTCTGTAGTACAACTTGAAATCAGGAATGGTGGGACACACATCTTATATTATTCAGTATTGCTTTAGATATCCTAGGTTTGTTGTTGCTGTTGTTATTTTTCCATATAAAGTTGAGAATTGTACTTTCAAGATCTATAAAGAACTGTGTTGGAATATTTGATGAGGATTGTGTTGAATCTGTAGAATGCTTTCGGTAGAATGACTATTTTTACTATGTTAATCCTACCAATCCACCAGCATGAGATATCTTTCCATCTTCTGATATCTTCTTCAGTTTTTATCATACAATCTTTAACTTGCTTGGTTAGAGTTAACCAAAGGTATTTTATATTATTTGTGGCTATTGTAAAAGTTGTTTCCCTGATTTCTTTCTTGGCCCATGATGTCCTGAGTTAATCTTGTATCCAGCCACTTTTCTAAAGGATTTATCAGCTGTAGGAGTTCCCTAGTGGAGTTTTTAGAGTCACTTATGTATACTATAATATCACCTGCAAATAATAATACTTTGATTTCTTCCTTTGCAATTTGTATCCCCTTGATTTCCTGCAGTTGTTTTATTGCTCTAGCTAGAACTTTAAGTACTGTATTGAATAGATATGGAGAGAGTAGGCAACTTTGTCTTATTCCTTTAGTGAAACTACTTTGAGTTCCTTTCCATTCAATTTGATGTTAGGTATAGGCTTGCTGTAAATTGCCTGTATTATATTTAGGCATTTCCCTTGTATTCCTAATCTCTCTCAGACTTTTATCATGAAAGATAAAAGAGTTCTACTTTGTCAAAGACCTTTTTACCACTCTTGAGGTACATTTCTTGTATCTGTTTAGACAATTTGTATTAAATGATTTTGAAATTTTTCTTCTCATTCTTTTTGGTTTTGTCCTTTTGGGGGCTTGATTTACATATACACAAGGTCTTCATTCCACGAGCCTCTATGTATATATTCATAGCCATATATGTATATATAAAGTCTTGTTTACCTCATTATTTCACTCTGGAAATTCTATGTGTTGTCACTACAGCTCTGGCTAATCTGCTGTTAAATGTACATGATGATCTCTCACTGTTGGGTCTCCATTTTAGAATTTATGTTTAACACATATTACAGACTTATATAGGTAAAGTTTTGTTTATCAGTTTTGTATATTAATAGTAGTACCATTGGCAAATATCCTAAGAACAATGGTGATGCAAATGTTTGAAAATTCCCTGCTGGATGTCCATTTCCTTAGCAGATAACCATCTCAAATTCCTATTATCTTTTCTTTGCCAGTGTGCTCAAATAATATGTATTTGTCCTTCCCAGTTTTTATAGTTGTACTTGAGAAGATAAATAATTAGAAATAACGTATACCAGGAACATAGCTTATTTTGGCACCCATAAATACCATTTTATGAACACATGGAACTAGTTAAATTCTATACTAAATTCCAGGTTTTTACTAAGCATGGAGACACTCTCAGAGTTGTGCAGGTGCCAGATCTCTGGGGGGCATGATCCTGAGAGTGGGTCCACAGTAAAATATAGTAACTAAGTACTTTACTGCATTTCTCAGCCACAGCAATGTGGTATGCAGGACAAAATTTACATTCATGATTTTAAAACTGTGGTAAGAAACACAAGAAATCAACATGATGTCCTTAAATCCTCATTGGCATTGGAAAAACTAATCAAAGGAAATATGAAATAGCTGTGGTAAGTATGGGCCAGATGAGTAATATTTTGCATGGAAAACACAGTTTGGACCAGAATAGCATCTAAAAGTTCACAGCGAATGTTGTTAAAACTGAAATAAAAGTCACATGAATATTTTGAGAGCACTTTTAAGCAAGGTAAAATGCACAGGCTTATTGCTCACACATCCAGCATGCTCCCTGAACTTACGTAGGAATATTTTTTTGTCTCTGGGTTGTACATATTAACTTCATTGTGGCTTTTTGTTTTTGTTATTGTTCTCTTCCACACCAATCAGACTTCAACTTGAATTAACAGATAACATAAAAATTTTATCTTTAGCTTAACAAGCCTTAGTTATGAAATCAAGCTATCATTGTCTACCTTTTCTTTTAATCTTAGCAGATGCAGCAGTAATCTCCACAATGATGATAATAAGAACATCTTCAGTAAGCTGGTATAGAGAAGGTCCGTGAGATCCTCTGCTAGCAAAGGATGTCTCTGTGTAAGAATACCTAGTGATTTACAGGCGGCAGTGTATTCACATTATCCTTAACTGGTTGCTCAATTAGACACCTGTGTGACTCTGGAAAGAGCTGTGCAGCAAACAGGTGCACCTGTCAGCAAGCTGCTAAAAGATGTATTGATGATAGGATGTGGTTATCCAAAACAGTTCTAAAAACAGGAATCCGAAGACTTATCTCCTTTCAACCTTTCCTCCTCACCCCTCAACTCAGTATCTTACTAGCGTGTGAACAGAAACTTTCTGGATTAGTTGTTTCACATATGAAGTATGATGGAGCTTAAGCGTTGACTCTTAAATTAAGGTCAATGTTTTGTCCGTTGTGGTCACAAACTCCAAATACTAGCAGTTAATTGCACCCATGCCAGTTTTTATAGAAAAGAATAAAGAATTGGCAGTCAGGAACTTGAAGAAATACAAGCTAAAGGTGTCCTATTATTTAAAATGATCTATCATTTTAGAAAGAAAATTTAAAAGGTGATATATGCAATCTAAAATTAAATGCAAGTTTTTGAATTTCAGGCTGCAAGGCTAAAACGATCACAGAAAAATCCTTATAGTGCTTTGGAATTCTGTATAATATTTCTAGGGAGGTCATTTACTTTCATAATTTAGTGTGACTTATTTTGGCTTCAGGTCCATTAGAAATGTATTGCACAAAAAGATGACCTCTTTTTTTTTCCCTTTAATTTTTAACAGCAGCTTGCCAGTAGGAAAAGAAGATGTTTGAAAGAGGAGCATTTAATACTGTCCTAATAGCTTTCAAATATCTGTCTTTTAAAGTCTGATTGAGAGGGAATTTTGAAATATCTATTTTAACACTTTCCTCTGTTTTGAAGAGGAGTGTTAAATCAGATATGAAGTATTATTCAAATGCAGATGCCTCTATCTATGATGTCTACCACTGTTGTAAAATAACCAAGGTAACTCCAGAGGTCAAAAAAATTGAGTTGGTTAGTAACAGGTTTTATTACTTCTGTTTTTTTTTGTGGTTTTTTTGGTTTTTTGTTTCTTGTGTTTTGAGACACGGTTTCTCTGTGTACTTTTGGTGCCTGTCCTGGATCTCGCTCTAGTGACCAGGCTGGCCTTGAACCCACAGAGATCTGCGTGCCTCTGCCTCCCCAATACTGGGATTAAAGGCATGTGCCACCACTGCCTGGCCTACTTCTGTTATTTTTAAAATGATTGAGTCTTACTAATGTGAATTCCTTTAATCCGTGCATAGCTCAATACATAAAACAAAGAATTAGGGACTGGGGAGATGGCTCAGCAATTAAGAGTACATACTGCGCTTGTAAAGGTTAGGAGTTCTGTCTCCAACACCTACCATCAGAGAGCTCACAACTGCCTGTAATTACAGCTCTGAGGAATCTGGTGGTGTCCTCTTCTGACCTCTGGGAGTACCTGCACTCACATGTGCATACTCCCCACATACATATACACATAATTTAAAACAAATATATAAACAAGAGCCAGGTAAATATTTTTTATTCTCTTCCTTTCCCCTTTATGATTCCTCTTATTTTTCCTGTCCATCTTCTTGTCTATGTCTTGCTTTCTTCCTCCTCCTTCCCTCTTGCACTTTTACAAAAAAAATTATGAAAGACATTTATTTTTCTCTTTAAATCACAGGTGATCTTCAAGGGTTGAAGTACTTGGCTGGGTGCTGAAAGAGAAGGTATCTGTGTTCTGTCTTCCCCTGCCTGTGGGTTCACAGTGTAGACTCCTTTATTTGTCTTCAGGTTTTATTATTCGAAAAATAGCATGGTTGCATTGAATGCAATTTCAAGTCTCCTCAGTAAAACTCCACATTCTGTACATTTCCCTGTGACCATGGTAACTATTATTTGATAATTAAAAATCCTGCAGAGAAATGTCCATCAACTCTTAACTTTGACCAATAAAATTGGCAAAGTGATTTCTTCAGTTGGATCAGTAATTTTAAGTAAACTTTCTATGTAAATCTCCATCAGAGCATATCTCTATCCCACCCCAAGGACAGCAGGGGACATGGGTTCCTGGTGTCTGGTAGTTAGGGTCCAGGACTATGAAGGACTGTGAAGGAGTCATCCCATCTGTCATCTACTGTCAAAAACTGTTGAAAATGCACTACTGGTAAGTCCTTTGCATAAAACCAGCCTTGACTGAAATAAAATTCTGGGCATAATAAGCTATCTTCATAAATAGGTGTTACTTAATATTGCAATCTTTATAAATGTGTATGATTCTAAATCTTGTCAGCCTAGAAATTAGTATTTCTTCCAAAGTGCATTTTCTGATGATATCTTGTATATACTTAAAAAATGGAATGGTGTCTTATTAAATAACTTAAGACTTTTAGGACAGTAATGTTAGGGTCCTGCTCTCACTCTTCCAGGTCTAACGTCTTACATCATCAGTGGGTACGGTCGACCATGTACCAGCCTTAAAAAGCCAGATGTGGACCCCTGCGCTCTCTCTCTGCACCTATCTTTCTGTGTTTCCTCTCTCTGTTCCTGCTCTGTTCCCCCTGCCAGGCCTGGCTCTCCCCCCTTCCCTCTAATAAATCTCCAAAAACTAATATTGGGTTCTGCTGTAGCCTGTGACTCTTCGGCTGACCAACCAACACCGTTCATCCTTTCAATTAACCCAGCTTTAAACACAAATTTTAGGAGTTTTCTCTACCTACTGACTAAAATCTTCATATCTGAGATAATGGTTTGCCAATCTCTTTTTAATTTATTTCTCCACACCCTATTGGTTCCGCAACTCTGGGGAAACCAGAAGTACACCAGCTTCTACTTAACCTGTCAAGTCTTAGCCCTTGCATTGCATTTACTCTCATTCTCACTTCTCCCTCACTTATTTTCCTTTTCTTTTTTCCTGAATCAACTTAATATTAATTGGAGCTAGCATGTTCCATTTCTTAATAGTTCATTGCATATTTTCAAAGAATAAGGTCATTCTTATGTATAACCACAATACAATGACCCAAGCCAGGAAATTTATTATTGATACAATTATTATGTGATATAAACTAGAGTCTAATTCAAAGTGAATATATTTTATGACATATTTATATTTTGCTGTGGGATATTGATCAGTGAGCAGATACTAATAGAAGCATTAAGTGGACATTTATTGGGACAAGATGATGGGTGGATTAGGAAAATATGTTATCATTGGGAGTTTCATGAAAGGAGCTATTTGAGGTGCATGGTCTTAAAGCATACTTAGAATGCCTACTGTTGGGCAATGTCATTTTTGGGGAGATGTGAGCAAACACCTACTCATGCCAGATGGGAAACACATGACCAACCAAAGGAAGGGTAGCACAAAATCCAGTTGGGTGAACCAGTAGTTTTATTGGGTTTTCTTACAGGAATATAGGTAAAGAGTCATTTACAGGAGCAGAAAGAACTCAAAGACAGGCATCACTAAATCCTGTTGCAGCATGGGTATCAGATAACCAAAGTTGGAAACCTGGAATTCACTCTGCAACTTGCAGGAGGCACAACAGGCTAGAAACTATCTTCTTTGGGCGGCTCAGGTGCCCTGAGCCTATCCCAGGTAGTTCTGCTAATCTCTGTTGGTCTGGTATTTTTCTTCTAAGCAGCTCAATTTCTCTGAATCTGTCTTCCAGCAGTCCTTGCCTCTTCTAAAGGCACACAGAGAGGGAGGCCTATTATTGATTCTGATTAGTTTCAGGGAATTCCTGAAACCTTTGAGATGTTTATTTCCCAAGCTTAAGGAGCTTCCTTAGAGGATGGAATGTTTTATCTCTTTTAATGACAACCTGTGACTTATGAGCTTCCTTGAAAGATGGAAAGTTTTATCTTAGTGAAAAGCCACATTTCTGCAGCATCTGCCAATTTTACTTTAGCAACCTTTGACTTCATGAGTGAAGGTTCAGAGTAAGAAAACATTTGCATTTAACCATCTTAATGCTTGAGATGGCTGTATAATGAAATCCCTTAACACATCTTCTGGGGAGAAGAGAGACCAACCCACTGAAAGCAGGAACTGGCAAGAGATGAGAGAATGGTCTTGGCAGAACCAGTGTCCTGACAAAGCTTTGGGAAGGACCCTCTTCTGCCCCTAGTGCTGCATCTGAGTAGTGTGAGCTTCATTGACCCTCTGCATCTGTATCAAACAGTGCTCCATCCACTGGAAGTGAAATACCTGAAGGAAAAACACCATGCTCTAATTCACCACATGGTACTGTAAGAGCTTAGCAGATATCACAAGTAAGATGTGTTGATAAAGGATCATAAGTTCCAGAAGGCCCAGTGCAATAGGACTTTAGACTCTGGAAAAGATGGAGAAGTAAAGTAAGCATGTAGAGCCTTTGAGAATATAATTAATTTTGCTTAGGGTCTAGTCATTCATAGTTTTCAAAATGCCCCTAGCAAAATATTTGCAGGGCTGAAGATGATTGTTATAAATACTTTGCTTATAATTAGTTACTGAAATAATCCTTATAAATACCTTTGAGCCCGGTATTAAATTTGCAATAGTTGACATGTGCATAATGTTTCATGTTGGAGAGTGAATAAATGACCCACATACTCACAAAATTCATTTTGCCCAATACTGTCACAGTCCAGTCAATAGTTTTAAATTAACATAGATAATTGTAACCTATTAACTAAAGGGCCCCATGTCCCTTTGCTAAAATATCAAAGGAAATATAATTCCAGCCAGACTTTGGAGATATGTGATAATTCAACACTGCATGCTTTTATCACAGACTTTTCATTGAGTGTGGTACTCCATACATGTTAGACCAGCACTTAAGGGGCCAGAACAAAAGGATTCTAAGTTCAAGGTAGGTCTGAGTATTGCAGCAAAACTAGTTACAATAGAACAAAATAAAGGTAGCCTAAGCAAAAGAGGTATGCCACATAAATTTTTCAAAGTATAAATTTTGTATTGTTTCATGACTTTATTGCTTATTGGAGACTCATAAGGAATCAAATAAGCGTCTTAGTATTTGCTGATACTTTAAAGCTAAATTCCTCTTTTATTCTCTTCCTTAATTAATACCTTTCTGTGCTTTCCATTGTTGAAGGCGTTTATGGTTTGCAGTTACTTTATGAAACAAGGCATTCTAAACTCAATCTTATATGTTTTACAACTCCCCATCTGCAGCCTTCTCTCTGACATTGAAGTATTTTTCTAAGTTGACAGTAAGGAGGCTTTCTGTTAAACAACTTTGGTATTTAAAACTTAAATTTTATTATGATCTTTATTGATTTTGATAAAATAACAATTATTTTCCAATCAAGACAGACCTGTTTTCACTTTCCTCTGATGGTCCAAACAAGTGAAAGGAAGCAAAAGCAAATGTGTCCGCTGTAATTTAAATTTTCAGTTTGCAATTATCTTCACAATTTATTGAGAACTTCTCTCCATTCTATGGCAGTGACTTCACCAATTATCATGAGCCTGAACATCATCTGTCAGAAGCAAGCAGATGGAAGACGTTTCACTCATTGCTCACAGCTTTCTGTTTATTATTATACTAAGCACAGAATGCAAGAGATCTAAATGTAGCACATCATGAAAATATTATCCTCTGTAAATACAATGATTTGGATTTGTTCCTATTCCGAGGACATGCAGGAAATGCTTGAGGATATTATACCCTGATTTCTTTCAGTCTGCAAGAGCTGGACCCCTCCCCCACTTATGGATTGATACAAGTAGTCAAATCACTCCCAAATCTTCAGGAAATGAAAGGCTAGATCACTAATCACTGCATGCACACTTCACTTTAATATTTCATTCAGCTTTGATAGAAGATTATAATGGAAGATATTATGAAAGGGCACCACTACAATTGTACTCAGTGGGCCATGTGTAATATTTGAAAGTACATCATCTCTGTGGGTACTTTGCAAGTTGCAGTTGTTAGATGAAGAATAAATGTTAAACTAGATTCTTTTGGCCATCCAATCAAATACATTTATTATGTGCCCTCTGTGTGCAAAGAACTGTATTAAGCACATAGTTTGGTCCCTGCCATTATTCTTAAACTATGCTCCTGATGTGTGTTAAGCAGGGCAGAATGCGTCTTCCTAATAAAATAAAATAAAAGCATTTTCCACCAGTTTCTAGAAAACAGTTGAATGCTCAGAATTTTATGTTTTATTTTTTCCTGCTCATTTTTCTTACATGTTTGGTGCCTGTTACTGGTTGTTAATATTTGTAGTTTATAAAAGAAGCTATTAAATTATTTAAGCAACTGGATCAAATTTATAATTTATTTGGGTTTAATACATTTTAATTTTGTGTTGTACTATCATCAAGGAAATGTGAATACCAATGTAACTTAAATTAAGATGCCTTGGAAATGACTGTATAATTCCTTCAAGCTGTTAAAATCTAGCAGTTTAGACAGTTGCCTAAGACATAAATATCTAAAATATAATTCATATCCTTTAAAAGAATTAATGCATCGTTATAAGGAGTTAAAGCATGGGAATCCCCAGGAAGCTTGATGTATTTCTTTTTACTTACATTCTTCATTTTCTATATGTTTGAGGCAAACTGTTTTCCTTGTTCTCTAATTCCAATAATTTTCTACAACTCCTTCAGACCATTTGTAGACATATTCTATGCATAACATGCAATAAACTTGTTTGATGTTATCAGACAGTATTGGCTCAGTATTTCAAAGTGATAGTAAACACTGATCACACACTATGTGTCAGATACTGTATTATACACTCCATGCATCTTTCAGACTTCATAGTATCCCTATGGAAAGTGCTCTTTATTACCTCTTTTTTCAGAGGGGGAAATTGAGACACAAGATTAAGTAAACTTAACCCTGTTTACATGGCCAATTAATGATAGCCAGAGATGTAAAACTAGGCATTTTGGCTACAGAATGTGGATTCTTGGCTATTAGGCTATACTAACATCATTAGCACTATAATTATAATTAATTATGATTATTGGCTCAAGAGTGTTGCATATTTAGTTTACCTTTCATTGAAACTATTACCATAAACTAAATTGGTAGAAACAATGAAAAAAAAATTAGTGGCTCACATAATTAAAAGAATGACAGTCGCAGTTGCTCAGGAAAGGCTGATTTATGGGTTCAATGGCGTCACTAAGAACCCAGTTCCTTTTATTCTCTGTGCTCTGTTTTCCAAGATGGATGTCAGCAGTGATAGAGGGAAGCTTTCCCTTATTCACACTCAGCAAGGAAACGAGACCTGAGGCTCACTGCTCCTTATGGAAATCTCCTGAACCATTCTGAATGATCCAACTTAAGAACTGACTGCCAGGGAATCAATAATTATGGTCAGAAGTGAATTCTTTGGTATTACTGCAGTTCAAGGAAATATCCTGTTGGATAATGCTGGATCACACACTTCCCTGAACTCACAGGATCCTTGATGGAATTATGATAAAAGAGGAGATGGGTATTTCAAAGGCAACCTACATAGTAAACAGAATATGAAACCTACATATTTAAATGTTTATATTGGGCACACCAATTAGTAGGTTACTACATACATGTATATGTAACCTTACATATTATCTAGCAATGCATCTATCTCTCTACATCTGTATCTATCAGTCATCTTCCAAGTTAGAATTATTTACTTAATGTACAAAGACATGACACCATGTAAAATTATTTCAGTGGCCAAGGGAATTGAAGTCTGGGATATTTATACTGAACTCTTCTTGTGAGACCATCATATAAGTAGTGTTGACTATTGAAAAAGCAAAAATTTATCCAAAGGATTTAATACTGCAGATGATTGGAGCACCTAGTAAAATGGAGAAAATAGCATATTTCATAAAGTGATAGTTTTCAAATATTATAAACTGATGTTATCTATAGTTGTTATACAAATAATTTTCCTTGGTGTCTTTTTTTGCATATTCTGATATTTTTAAAGGAAATAAATACTTCTCAAAGACATGGAGCTCACAAAGACTGTAGTCTGAGAAATTTCAATGGCAAGGTTGTAGTGGCAGCTTGTGATACACAGGAATGAAATTCTTGTCCAAAGGAGATATACATGCTTCATGTTCTATGCTTAAAGAGAAACATCATAAGAAAAACCCACCTCTGGATTCTTATGTCAAGGCTACACCATTTACAAAGTACAGTAGCAAACATACAGGTGGAAGAATAGAGACTAAAAGATAAATGGATTCTTTGGTATTGGTGCAGTTCAGGGCATCCTAAACTGAAATCTTTGCTCACCTATCTCAATGCTAGGTTATATAGCATAGACAGTCTTGTTGAACTTAGAAATTCTGAAAGAGAAAATGATCTTTCTACACTTGTGTAGAAAGACTATTTTCCTTATGACGTGTGTTTCTATATCAAATCAGTTGTGGAGATTTACCTAAATGAACTGTAGCATTTTATAGATTTATACAACATGCAATAAAAGTGCTTGTGAATCATTGAATTTTGTTTTACCTTTTCCCACTTGTCCTAAGAATAGGAAGGTATAATGCACACATGAAATCTAGAATTTCCAAGTAGTATATATCTTTTGATAAAACAGTTGAGGACAAAAAGAAAACCACTTCAAGTACATATTTGTACATCCCTAAGTTAAAAATCAACTTAAAGTTTTTAGATTTACAGAATAATTGCAAAAGTGGTTACATTTCTATATATTTTGTACCTAGTTTATATACTGATAAGATTTTATATTAGTATGATATATTTGTTACGCTTAATACACATTGCTTTATACAGATGTCCTTGGGTTTCTTGCATAAAATTTTATTATTATAACTGTACCATATATACAGAATTAGCTTGAAACAGTGCAGAGAATTCTCATGTACCCCACGGTGAGTTTTCCTTATTATTGACTCCTTGCATTAGCGTGGTACATTTGTCAAAATTAATGAACCATCATAGATGCAGTGCCACCAAGTACAGTCTACATTTCACTCAACTTTCTTCCTTTTTTCTCTAATGTCCTGGTCCTATTGCAGGGTCCACCCAGGATATTATCTAAGCTTTAGGACTTTGTTTCACAGACTATTCAGGTTATTAATTACCCTGACACTTTGGGTGATTATTGGTCAAGTATTTTATAAACAGATGTTATGCATTTGAGATTACTGTTCGTTTTCTCTTGTTTGTTAGACTGCTTCTTTGAGTCTAGGGGGCTGATATTATAGAGCTAATGCAATTCTTACTGTATTAAGCCAAAATTTAAACTAATATTTTCTGTATAAAAATCCTATATCATTATAAACTGCTTGCTATAGACTTTTCTCATGTCACTTATTGTGGTAAAGGCTTCCTGTCTTTTGATTTAATAATAATAATAGTTTTTAATTTGTTAGTGTGTTTTCAGAATTGCAACATTATTTTCCCTTCTGTGGACCCTTCATCGCCCAGTAAGACCCTGTGTGGGTTTTCCAGTGTGTCATTGCCTAGAGACTACAGTTGTGTTATAAGGGATTAACATAGGGTTGTATTTTGTTTTTCTAAGGTTCCTTGATGTCAAAAATTTCACCAAAATTTTGAGAAATTTGCCTAGTAATTTATACAGAATATTAATCATAGATATTTCTATGGATAAAGCTGAAAATATTTATTTTTTCCTTCAACAGAACTATGATTTGGATAAAAATAATATACATATCACATAATACAAAATGAGGGATTGTGGAAAATTATAAGAATAACTGAATTAGGCAAAGCTTTACACTGAGTCTAAATGGACAACACAAATCTTGCTTTTGGACAGGAATATCAAAGGCTTCATGGTGGAGGAAGCACCATACTTATTATATCTTGAGTGACTTGAAGGGTATTTGAACACACAGTGCGAGAATAAAATCCCAGTTGGATACTGGGATTTCACTTTCTCCAAGTCCTCATTTCATATCCCAAACACTATTTATTGTTCATTATTTAGCTTTCTTTTAGTGTATAATTACCAGCCTGTGTTTGTGACTTTCCTCACTTCATTCTCAATGGAGGATCTATGCCTTTAGTAAGGCACAATTGTGCTGAGAACTGCACACCTTCGCCTTCACTTCACCAGACTGTCATCTAAAAATCAGTATTTAAACATAACACCTGCTAACCTTCTCTCTCAATGATATTCTGCTACACTCATAGATTGGTGATAGTCTGCTATACTCCTAGATTGGTGCCTAGCCCAAATGCGTCAGAGAGGCTTCATCCAGTAACTGGTGGAAATAGATGCAAACACCCACAGTCAAACATTAGGCTGAGCTCAAGTAATCCTGCTGAAAGGAGGAAGGATTGTAGGAGCCAGAGGGGTCAAGGACATCATAAGAAAAGCCACGGTATCAACTAACATGGCCTCATAGGGACTCACAGAGACTGAATAGACAACCAAGGAGCCTGCATGGGACTTATCTAGGCACTCTGCATATATGCTACAGTTGTGTAGCATGGTCCTCTTGTGGCACTCCTAACAGTGGTAGCAGAAGCTGTTGTTATTCTTTTACTACCTTTCGGAACCCTACTCCTCATCCTGGGTCACCTTGCCCAGGCTTAATACAAGGTGAGGTGCTTAGGCTTACAACAACTTGATATGCCATGTTTTGTTGACATTTATGGGAAATCTGCCCTTTCCTGTACAGAAACAGAAGATGAATGGATTGTGGGGGAGGGAACAGAGGGAGCATGGGGGACAGAGACTGGGAGGAGAGGAACGAGGGGCAACTGTGACCGGGATGTAAAATAAAAGCAAAAGCAAAAACAAAAAAAAAACCACCTATCCAATTTATTATATGAATTATAATACCTCAAATCACTTGGTCTATTTTTCAGTGTTGTGACTAGAACCCCAGACCTTAAACTGAGTGGTAATTCTGTAAGTGAACTATACCCAGGCACTGCTCTTATAAGAAACAGCATTTCCTGCAGCTCAAGCTGGATTCATATTCTCAATACTTCTGCCTATGCCTCCCAAATTCTGGCTATAGTACAGGCATGAACGACCCAAACTGACAGTTACTTAATTTTGACGAAACCATTTCTGGATTTGAGTGCGGATAATATTGCAAAATGCCTGACAAACTTTAGGCACATTACCTACACTATAACTGACTGTTTCTTATCCTAAGGCAGACAGCACTTTTACTGACCTTAAGAGAGGTTATAAAAATTGAATGATTTTGATAGCTGTTCTTGGTTGTCAACTTGATTATATCTGGAATAAACTATAAATTCAAATATGGAGGGCACACTTGTGATCTGGATCTTGAGGCAAGAAGACAATATGCCTTTGATCCGGATTCTAACACTGGATGATGTATGTCTTTAATCTAGACCTTGAGTCTGAAAGATACACCTTTAATCTGGGCTACATCTTCTGTTGAAAGCCTTTATAAGTACAATGGAAGAAGAAAAGGTTCTTCACCTGCCTGCCCTTGCCTTGTCAGCACACCCAGAAGACCAGCTGGGACACCCAGCCTCATGGGACTGAGTACCTACTAGATTCTTGGACTTTCCATTCGCAACTAGCCATTGTTGGACTGCAGCCTGTAAGTCGTTCCAGTAAATTTATATATATATATATATATACACACACACACACATATACTATAAATTCTGTGACTCTGGAGAACCCTCACTAATACAATGACTTGTACTGAATATACAATTATCTCTTTGAACACTAAGGATCTGAACCTGCCAATGAAACACTTTAATCCTACTTTGCTGAATGCTGTTAATCCTGTGGTCTATTTTTTTCCTTTCCTGTACAATCTATTATACCTCTCCCTAGCACTTCCTTAGTCCCGGCCTTCTTTCTTGAGTTGCAGTCCTGAACTGTTGGATTTAGTGTTTATTTCATTTTTTAACTTTCCTTAGTACTCAGCACTTTTTCTAAAGTGAGATTCTTAATAGATGAAGATGAATATTCTCTTCTTCTTTAATCAATGTTTCTGCATTATGTGTTGAAATCGGAACTCCATAACACTCCCTGGGCTCTGCCATAAACTCCTGAAGTATCCCTAATAAATTTCTAGCTGTGCACATTCTAATTTTCTCCAAACTCTCCTTCCCATGTTACTGTTTTATTCCTAATATCCTATATTCTCTGAAGTCTTCTTGGACTCCTTGTGTGTGATATCTTGTCTACCCATGCTGCAATAGGTGGGCATGTACTCATGCATTAAAAAGTCATGTCTACATGAGTTTCAAGACAGACCTGGCCACTTCTGTGTTCCCATTGCAAACTTTACATACTAATCTCCTAACACTTTAGCTGTCTATTGTGTTTACTTATGTACGCATCCCTTCCACCAGTATATACATTGCTTGAGAGTATTGACCTAACATTTATGTTTTCATTTATTCTTAGATTCTAGGTATTTGATAAAGACCTGTATTAGTAATTCAGTAATCAAATAATGACACTTATTTCCTCACATTTCTTTTCATTTGTATGATTAGGTGAGCTCTTATTGGTTATGCAAACTCAATGCTTTGCAGGGGGGAAGTGTGTTGTCACAGAGCTAGAACACTCTTGATTATGTATGTGCTAGGTGGTCTGTCTATGCTGGTGATGTCTGACAGTGCCAACAGCACCAACTCTTTGAAATTCAATGATATGTGTGTCTTTATTATCTCAAGCTGTTTTGTTTTTGTTTTTGTTTTTGTTTTTTTTGCTTGAGATTTGCTATTTTCCAACAAGGTTTCCTTCTTTGTCAAATAGGTCGACCTGTGCTCATGATGACTTCATATCTCAGTCATATGATCTGGAAAGAAAATTTTATGGCTATTTTCCTCTGTGTAGATCTCAAAATGAAGATTAAATTTGGTGGAGGAATCCAGCAATGATACCCTGTATCTTCCTAATTCAGCCTGTCACCAGGTGCACTGCAATACAATTACCCATTTATTAAGAAATAAGATGAAGATAGCATAGCATGTAATTTTAATTGCCTCTGATGTTCACCATATTGCCACTTTTCACTGGCTCTCTGTGACTGCCCAGCTAGAATTTCTCTTTCATGCAAACAACAGAACTAAATTGAATTACACAAAAGAAGCTACACACTGACTCCCAGCAGTATGTTTTGACAAAACATTTTGTCTCCTTAAATGATTTCAGATGCTATAGTCAAAAAGCCTTGACTGTAAATAATGGGTTCATAAAACCTATCTTTAAAAATTTACCTGACAGTAATGCTGTGCAAATATCTGCACTTTTAGCTCACCTTCTCCACTTGTCTACATCAGGATTTTAATGGAGTGGCTGTCACAGAAGAACAGCTAAAGGCCACTGCTTGATAAGTTGCTATAAAAACACAGTGTTTAAAATGAGAATTTCCTTCTTAAATTCAGCTATCATACAGGTGGTGGTGGTGGTGGTCAGAAAACAAACAAACAAACAAACACTGAAGAAACAGGTTTTCTTGGAAGATCTCAAGGAAAATCTTAGGGTTAAGTAACATTCTAAAGAGCAATGACTTTCAGATTCTGAGTTTTGAGTAGCTAATGCAATCCAGCAAATGTATCTCACTTATACAAGTAACATTACATAGAATGAGTAAGTGGTATTTAGGAATATGCTGTGTGTGTGTGTGTGTTTATGAATATGCATATTTACATATGCGTTTAACAACAATTATTGCAAAAGAAGGCTATAAATTTGAAAAAGCAAGGAGAAGTATACGGGAGAGTTTGGAGAGAGGATGATAAATGATATTATTATATTATAGTCTGAAAAAATAAAAGAAAAGATTAAAAAATAAAATACCATAGGAAATTTGGTAGATACTTTTTGAAATATACCCCATATTGTAGGTCCTCAGTAGACATCTTCTTTAACTAAGGATATCAAGTATTCTATAAAACTGTACCACATTGTCTGAATTCAGCTCTACTTACTTTAATTGTCAAAGTCATGAAATCCATTCTCTGTGAAACTATAAAATTTTATTTCTTACTTATTTGCACACTTTTTTACAATATATAAATAAATTAACTGAATATACGTGGTTAGTTTATGTTTTGCTTATTTGCTCTCAAGTCTCCCTAGGTACAAACAAGACTATGATAAAATTTATGTATTTCTTTGTATGTATGATGCAAGGTGTTGGGAACTTTAGATGGATTGCTTTATGTCAGATGATGTAGGAATTATTTATGAAGAATCTGAAAAAACTTTCTCAAAATTGCCTTCTGTCATTTAACTGAAATGTCATCTTGTTACAAGGCTGTAGTAGTATGGACTAATAAACAAATGCTTTGGTGGCTTCTCTGAGTTTCTTTCTTTTGGTGTGCTATGTTGGGACATTGAGTCTTACTTCTCATTGGGAACCTTTCTGTGTCTGATGGTTTCTTCTAAAATAAATACTGAAACTTCCTCTAGTAACATATTTTCAGATCCTGTTTACAAGGTGAATTCCACACCTGCTTTCATTTGACTTAACAGTTCTGTGAAATGCACAGTAACAGTGTTACCATTATCTACTTCTTAAGAATTTAAAATTACTCTTCATTTAAAAATACAGGGTACTATATTTACTATCATGATGAGACTCTGAAAATGTCCAATAGAAACCCCAGATGCTCATGTGTTTCGTCAAGATTCAATATTCTGAATCCACTTTACTCTCTGCCTTCAAAAATGACTGTACTAACTGCTAATCATTTCAGTACATGTTCTTATTCATTACATCGCTTTTTCCCCCCCAAAGAAATATGTTTCTTTGTAATAATTCCCAGGATGGTGTGAAATGTGCCTTGACTGATTCTAATGACATAATCTTCTTTCTTGGCAAACTCCTTTTACACTGTTAGAGAACTTTTCTGGATTAACATTTTTGAGATTATTTTAATTCTCTTTTATTCTGAATAAATTAAATTCTCTGTCTTGTCCTCTCTTGCTCATTTTATTTCATCAGAGTCTATAATTTGAAAATGGGAAAGAAATTAGATTCTGATCTGCAATGAGATGATGTTTCAGAGATGGTGGCATCCCTTGTGATATTAAGGACTCTACTGAAGAAGAAATGACCATACATTTTTCAACAGTCTATTTTATTCCATCACCTTATGGATGTGTTCCAAGTCTATATTGCTGTCACAAAACCACTTGCAAAAATGTCTTTGAGTCAGCATGTGTAAGCCCTTGAGTCCCAAGGTTGAAGCGGCATAAACGATAAAGCCCAGAAACTACTTCACTACTTGAAATATACCATTTCTTCAATGAAAGGGAAACTTCAGAAAATATTGAATTCAACCTCACAGGGATGCTTGTTTGCCCTCTTGCTCAACATAAATGTCACAGCAATTCTTGCCCCTAAGATCTTTTGAGAGAGGAAGGGCCACAGAAGGATACAGCCAATGCATATCTTAGGTATAATTCTTTTTGAACAGGGGAGCTAAATTTGTCTCCAGTACCCACCCATAAGGGTAACCCAGGAGGGGTATTAAATCAATAGAGGAACCCAGTGGATTCACTCATTCATTTTCCTCTGATGTCATATTAGAGATATCAAATAGTCATTTTCCGTACAACCCCTAGGTGAAAGGCAGACAAAAAATTCCCTTCTCATCTCTCCATCTCCTTTCTAGACCAAGGTCTCTTTCAGAGTGTCCTCTGCTTCTATTTAGTATAGGCCAAATTGCTGCCATGGAAACAAGTCAATCAGGACCATGACATTGTACATGAGAAAAGACTTACCTTAACGTACCTTGGGCTTTAAAAAAATGCACCATTGCTTTAAACTACGGCGTTGCTATTTGTAAAATAGGAATAATAGCAATATTATTCATGGAATAGCTTTAGGAATATTATACTGACTCATAGAATAAATTTTTGGAAACATAAAAATGTCAATACTTGTTAAACATTAATGCTAAACTTACCTAAAATGTGGCTTGCAAATATGTATGATGGAAGTGAAGAAAGGTAAGTTGATATTTCTCAGAAATCTAAACACATGTGCACACACACACACAGAATTATAAGTTGTATGGCTGCAGTGGTAAAGTATTTGCCTGACATGCTGAAGTCCCTGATTTTAGTCCTATTTACAACTAAGTAAATAAACATTTAAATAAAACATAAAATTACATTTATTAAGTTATAGAACACATGTAAAAATGAATCATATGTATTGCATTTTCATATATATGTATTGGATTTCCATACAATAAACAGATCCCTATAACTAGTCATCCAAGTCTACAAATAGCCTATAAATGAGATCCCTCTTGTGCCAGCAGACTGGTAAGCCACAGAACATGTGGCAAAACATAGATTAATAGAAATGGGTTAATTTGAAATATAAGAGCTAGCTAGCAAGAGGCATGCCATAGACCATATGTAAATAATATTAAGCCTCTGAGTGATTATTTTATAAGCAGCTGGGGGACTGAAGGGATGGGCAGGACCAGAGACACATTCTGACTACATTTGGTGCCCAGACTGGTAGCAAGAATTTCCACCAAAAACCTGAGAAAGCTTTTTAAAAAGATTCTAAAATGGAGCTAAAATGAGCTTCCTAGTTCTATTTCTCTTGCAGCATGTAGGCTTGAGCAGCATGGCACATTCCTGCCGTGGTATACAGAGGTGTCTCTAAGCCATGTAGTGTACTGTATGGTGGATTTAACCTTTACTCATGCAGAATAAAAAGGTTTGTGGGCCAGCTGCATGCTACCTGGTGGCAGCGTGGACCCCAGGGTTGGCAGGGTAAGAGTGACTCACTTGGGTACCTCCACCATGTTGGGAAGGTGAGGTGGGCGGAATCAGCAGCCAAGGCTGTTGCTTTTCATCCTAGCAATACAGTTTAACAGTTTAAAATCTTTCTGGGTCAGAGAAGGATTATAGATTCACAATAACACAGATTCAGATGAAAGAAAACTCTAAACTGTTTACAATGTATGTAAAAAAGTACATAAGCTTGGAAGAGAGAGAAAAAGGAATATATACAGTTATATAAAGAAATAGTTTAAAAAATAAAGTCTTTAAAGATACAGTAAAAATAATATAAAAAAAAAGCCACATAAAGATGGAAGTCAAACAGAGTCTGGATTATATTGTCTTTAAGATTTTTAACTACAGAAAAACATTTGATTGTAAAGGCTGCTGAGTTAAACCTATATATATTTTAAAGTTATTTTGACTTCAAAATTTATGTCTAAGGATATGTTGCTTTGGAAAGAAGTTCTGCTTTTGTTTCCACAAAAGATGAGAACCTGTGGATTGCTTCCAAGGTAACATGATTTGATCAGCCAAGACCCCCTGAAAGGTCTCTGATGAAACCATGTCCCAGATGATCCAACATCCAAAATCAGCTTCAAAGCAACTGACTGAGATAATCCATCCTCACAGACTACATCCTAGATTTTAACTCTAATTCTTAATTTTCTCAGGATCTCCATAAGACTACCAGTGCCCCCAACCAGCAGGAAGTGATATGAGAAGCTATGCCCAAATTCCCAAAATATTGTTTATAAATCTTTATTTTTGTTTAAAGGGGGTTGATTATAAATATAATCTCTTTCTAAAAAAGAATAGGGGGATAGTATAGACATGATAGGATGAAAGGGTAGATTATTGAATCTACTTTTAAAGAGCAGCAACTTGTTTGAAATGTTTTACATTGCTATGGATTTTAGTTTACTGATATAAATTTAAAGTTAATTTTGTTATACTGTATATATATTTCCACTCTTGATTAAGGTATTATGTTTATGCAGCTCATTTAAAATTGTAATATATAATTAAAATTACAGATTAATAATTAGTCATCTATGATAATCAAACTTATAGTCATGTTAGTTAAGTTTTCTAGATATACATAGATATATTTCAATTAGGCAGATAATCTTCAAACATTACAAAGACCTACAGAAAATGTTATAAGAACTTTGACTTTTCTGGACAATAAAACATGTCTGCTCCTGGCTGTGGGTATCCTGCTGTGGATATCGCTCTGTATCAATAAACACTGATTGGCCAATAGCCAGACAGGAAGCATAGGTGGGACTAACAGAGAGGAGAATTGAGGAAACAGGAAGGGAAGAGAGAGATTGCCTGGAGCCGCCGCCAGGACAAGGGAGATGTAAGGTACCAATAAGCCACAAGCCATGTGGCAATGTATAGATTAATAGAAATGGGCTAAATATAAGAGTAAGAGGTAGCCAATGATAGGCCTGAGCTAATGGCCAAGCAGTTTAAATAATGTGAGAGTCTACGTGTTTATTTTATAAGTGGGCTCTGGGACTGGCGGGACTTGGTGGGAGCTGGAGAGAAATTCTCCAGCTACACTTCAAAGAAGATGATGGGCATTGAAGAAACTCATTATGGAATTTGCTTTCCTTATGGCAAAAGTTAACCATTTGGGTAAGAAATTGTCCTTGCCTTGACTGCTTGACAAAATGTTGTATAGACTGGATATGCAGGACCCATGGAAAAATGACCACTAAAATTTTCCAAAACAAGTCAAGATGGTCCTTCAGATTCCTTCTTCACAGATGAGACTGCCAGACATTCTACAGGACACAGAGAGAAGCAACTGAGGAACTCTAGGCCTATAGGCTGAAGATGGATGCCCCAATGTTGCAGAAAGACTTTGGTGACTGTCCAGGCAGTCAACTGTCTCTGTAATTCTAGATTTTTTGGACGTTGCTTCTTATAATATTCTTCCTGTTTATGTGGGTAATATTATAGCCTTCTGAGGTCTTTGATGTAGGTGAAGACTAGATAGTTACAATTATAATTTTCCTTGGTTATAATAAAAGATAAATTAGATATGAAACTTTAAACTCACAAATATAGGATACATGCTAAAATATTTTCTTTAATTTTGCCAAATACAAAACTGTATTTCTTGCCTGATATCTGTTTGTTATATATAATTTTGCTGTGTTAAGGCTAAAACCTTCCTTTTTGATTAGATAGAAAAGGGGAAGTGCTGGGGGATGTCTTTCTGTATGCTGTGAATATATGTTGTTCCCATTGGTTAATAAATAAGTGCTTTTGGCCTATGGCAAGACAGCTTGGAGGTAGGCAGGAAAGGAGAGAAACAGGAAAGAGAAAGGTGGAGTCTGGGGAAATGGCAGCTTGCCGCCCAAGGCACAACATGCCAGCAGACCAGTAAGCCATGGAACATGTGGAAAAACGTAGATTAATAGAAATGGGTTAATTTAAGATATAAGAACTAGCTAGCAAGAGGCCTGCCGTAGACCATACATTTTGTAAAAAATATTAAGCCTCTGAGTGATTATTTTATAAGTGGCTGTAGGACCATGAGGACTTTTGTTCTATTTTTGCTTATAAATGTGTCACTCTGATCCTTGCTTTCATCATTTTTCTTTTCTAAGAGTTTTTATTTTATATATTCTTCAAATATGGCACTATGTAACATGAAGATATTTTTATTCAGTATACATTACATATTGAGCATGTTCTTCCCATACTTTATACCCATCTGTGGTGATATATTGTGTACTCTGAATGTGGTGATATATTCTATACCCTAATAAAATTACCTGGGGATCAGAGGACAGAACCAGCCACTAGATTAGACATAGAAGCCATACAGTGGTGGCACATACCCTTAATCCTATAAATTGGGAGACAGAGATCATCTGATTCTCTGTGAGTTCAAGATCACACTGAGAACAGAGTCAGACAGTGGTGGCACATGCCTTTAATCCCAGCACTTGAGATCTCATTCCTTTGCTTGGAAAGCACAGATGCCTTTAATCCCAGAAAGTGACATCGCTGGGTGGAGAAAGGTATATAAGGCATTAAGAGACAAGAACTAGGAGCAGTTCAATTGAGACCCTCATAGGTGAGAACTCAGAGGCTTTCAGTCTAAGGATTTATGGAAACAGGATTATCTGAGGAGTTGGTGAGGTGAGGTTGGCTGTAGCATCGTGCAGACTTGGACAAATGATACAGCTAACTTTCCCAGGACTTGACAATTAACTCAAAATTTTTCTTTACAGGATCCCCTAAAGATGCCTTCACCCCTAGACAGCAGGAAGTAATTTTAAGAACACAATGCCCACATTCCCAAGAGGTGAGGTGGGTGGTTTTTGGTCTTTCAATGGGTTATGGATAATTGTCATTGTTTAGAATGGTTGATTGCAAGTTGTTAATTGATAATGATCAGGAAAAAAAAAAGCTAAACAAGGAGATTGGATTCAACGTACTTTTTAAAAAAAGAAAAAGAAAAAAGAGGAAATAAATAAGAAGTAGATTATTGAATCTACTCTTTAAAAAAGGAGATACAGAAATAAAAGAGTAAAGGGTAGATTATTGAATCTACTATGAAAAGAAAAAAAGAGAACATGGGTATGATAAAATAAAAAGGTAGATTATTTAATATACTCTGAAAAAAAGAGATATAGAAATAATAGGATAAAAGGGTAGATTATTGAATCTACTCTAAAAAAGAGGATATGGACATGATAAGATAAAATGGTAGATTTTTAAATATACTTTTATAAAGCAACTACTAGTTTTAAATATTTTATTTTGAATTGGATTTTTGTATATTGTATTCAAATTTTATATATTGATACAAATTTGAGATTGATTTTGTTAGAAAATACTATACATATATTTCTAATCTTGTTCAAGGTATTTTACCTATATAGCTCATTTAACAATGTAATGCAAATTACTAGTCTTGAAAGTTATTACCAACTAATGAGGATAAAAGAAATGCAATAGCCATTACAATCAAACTTGTAGTCATATTAGGTATGTTTTCAAGGTCAAACAGAAATATATTTTAATTATTCAAACACTTCAGAGATCTATAGTATATGGCATTTAAGATGTTTTAATAACATAGTTTTTTTTTTCTTATGACAATGAGACATATCTGCTCCTGGAAGCATCAATCTACTTCAGAGAACATGATGGGCATTGAAGAAACTCCATAAGGAGTTTACTTTCTTTGTGGAAAAAGTAAGTCACTGGACAAGAACGTGCCCTTACATCGACTGCTGACAGTGTGCAGTCCAAATGGACAAGCAGGACACAAAAGAAAGGACTGCTGAACTTTGCCAAGATAAGGTAGGAAGGCCCTTTAAGACAATCATGCTTCGCAAATGAGTCTGTCAGATATGCTAGACCTGTAGGCCACAGATGGATGTTCCAATATTGCAGAGGAACCTTAGTTGACTGTCTAGGCAGCCAGCTGTTTCTGTCATTTCTCACATTATTTTGGAAGTTGCTTGTTTGCACTTCCTCCTTACTCAGTTACTATTTCCTTCTCGGGTCTCTGAGGGAGTTGAAGATTAGATATTTATAGTTATGATTTTTCTTGTTAACAAATTCATAATAGAAACTCACTAAAGAAGAGTAAAGTATGTAAGTATGAAAGACATCTAAAGATAGTTTTCAGTTTGTAATACAAGTTAGGATAGAAAGTTAATTAGGTACAACATTTTGGACTCACCAAAATAGGATAAATAATAGAAGTTTTTTGTCTGAATCTGTCAAGTGTTAGTAGACTAGACATTGTTAATGTAACTCTTGATTGTATATGTCTCATATAATTATTGTACTTATTGTATATAGTTTTTCTTATATTAGTTATAACCTTCTTTTATTATTTTAGACAAAAAGGGGAAATGTGGTATATTGTGTAACCTAAATGTGGTGATATATTGTGTACCCTAATAAATTTATCTGGGGATCAGAGGACAGAGCCAGCCACTAAATTAGACATAGAGGCCAGATAGTTGTGGCACACACCCTTAATCCTATCAATTGGGAAGCAGAGATCCATCTGGATCTCTGTGAGTTCAAGGTCGCACTGAGAACAGAGTCAGGCAGTGGTGGCATATGCCTTTAACTCCAGCACTTGAGATCTCATACCTTTGCTTGGAAAGCACAGATGCCTTTAATCCCAGAAAGTGACATGGCTTGGTGGAGAAAGGTATATATGGTATGAGGAGACAGAAACTAAGAGCAGTTAGTTGCAACTGAGACCCTCATAGGTGAGGACTCAGAGGCTTTAAGTCTGAGGATTTATGGAAACAGGATCATCTGAGGAGTTGGTGAGGTGAGGTTGGCTGTGGCTTGTTCTGTTTCTCTGATCTTTCAGCTTTCACCCCAGTATCTGGCTCTGTTTTTTTTTTTGTTTGTTTGTTTGTTTGTTTTTGTTTTATTTTGTTTTTTACTAATAAGAGTTTTTAAGATTTATGTTACACCCACTCCTTTCTCCCTCCTCTCCTATTAGTCCTCTTTGTTTTCATGGTCTCTTCACTTGTATTTCATGTCAAATAAACATATAGGATTTTATTTATCTACACACCGTATTTTATGTATGTACAAGAACCACAAAGAAAGGAGATATAGGCATGTGTTTTCTGAGGCAATCTGTCTTTATATTAACATGGTCTTTCCCTGTGTGTCTATCTCTTATTGCATCATCCCCCTCACTCCAGGCCAGTTTTATTCAGAAAGACACAGCTACATTGGGCTAAGGACTACCTTAATGGAGCTGAAAATATTTTTCCAAATGACATCACCTGATAGACAATGAGAGTTCATCGTCTTTTTGGAGTACTCAATTTGACCCATAACATTGGTCATGGTCAAGTAATTTTAAAATGTGTATGTAGACTTCCCTTGTCCCCACCAAACCTTGACCCCTAGGCCTAGGCTACAAAAAATGGGAAAAATAGCATATTGATTTGAAGATATAACATGGTATTGAGTGCTGATTTAGGATGATCCTTTCTGACCCTCACAACCACAGACAAATAATTTGTATGATTATAATTATACTTCCTTTTACTGGGGAAGCTGATACATACATTTCAAGGTGTTCAGAAAGCTAATAAGAAAACTGAATAATGATTTTAAGACTATATTTATATCTATTTCAGTCTACATTGTATTGGGTCTTAAAAAGCCTAGATAATATTTAACAATTTATTAAAATGCTAAGTGTTTTTAAAAAATACTTATTACAATATAAGTCTTTTATTAAACACAATATAATCTATAACATCATGTTCCTGAGAGGGAGACATGTAGATGCCAGCTATACCTAGCTGAATGTTTTTATTTCCTACTTCTTAATCAAGCTGTTGTATGCAGTCATCAACTTTCTGTCAACCCTGTGCTCACATGCCACTCACTCCTTCCACCCCATCTGGTTGAAATTAAAATATTGACAGAAATAATTTTTTCATGGGAAGTGGAAAAGCTAATAAGGGTGTTGGAACTAGATTGGTTTATGCATGCATTGCCCCTGACAGTACTCTGACAATTTTTAGTTTGCTCTCTCAAGTCATGTAGTAATACATTGAAACAAAATAAAAGGAATTGAGCCAAGTACAAGCTTAAATTCTGCTTTTAAAAATAGTCCCCAAAAATCATTCCAGACAAAAAGAGTCTACATAGTACCACTTCCCATATTTTTTTGGTGACTCTGACTAGAAGATGTTGCTAAGAGCAGACTTTTGTTGACTTTCACACATACATACTTACAGCAACGGCATTAAAATATAAGAAAGATCACAATAAAAGAATGGAGAGAAAAGCTCAAAATACAGTGACTTAACCCAATGGCAAATTTCTTTTGATTTTTAAACTGAAACCAACATAGCCCTTACCAAAAAGATTCAGTGTCTCTTAGTTCTGATTCTGAAATTCTTTTTCAGTTTGGCACAGGATATTCATCCACAGGAAATATTCTAAGCTTAAGTTTTAGGATCTCCCTGGGCTACTCATTATTATACTGGAAGACATTTGAAACCCTTTCGAGCTAATAACTATCATTACATGATTTAGATCTATTTCCCCCAAACAAAAGCAGTGCTGCTAGAGGGTGAAAGATTCATATACACTGATTACTCGCTTCACATTAAAAGCTGAACTTATATTAAAAAAAAAATTCAGGGAGTGGATTAGTTTATGGCAGGAGTCACAATGCCAAGGAGAAAGATGGTTATTAAGAAGAAACAGTGAGTGACTAGTTGAGATCCATGAGTACTCATGAGTGTTCCCAGAGCTGGAAAACATAGTCCTTAGAAGGAGGAAGAGTAGTGACTCTGTCTTAGTAGAACTTTTGTTACTTGCATCAAGATCATGAGAGTCGCATTGTAGAGATGGCTAAGTGATTACAAACAGTTGCTGTTCTTCAGGAGGACTGGGGTTCATTCTGTAGCATCCACATCTGTAACTCCAGCTCCAGGGCATCTGGCATGTATTCTGAACTCTGTGGAACTCCTATGTGTATATTCATACGCTACACACTCAATTTTTAAAAGAGTCAATAAGCCCTTAATAAACTTTAACTCACTTTTGTGGACATGATGCGCAGGGCTAGCTATAGGAGCATACTCCAGGCATTTTGGCAGAATTCACACAACTGTTTGCTTTTCACTCTATATTTGTCTACTCTGTTAAACTAAATATCACTACTCCCAAAACTGCATGGGATTTTCCTTAATGCATTTCATGCCTCTCTTCATCTCTTATTCTTAGCTGTGTGTCAATTTACATTACAACTTTGTTTTAGAGATACAACCTTTCTCTTCCGCCTGAGCATTTTAAGACAACTTATATTTATAGTTCTTGATTTATTGCTGTGTTGATTCTGGTCTGGCTGGCTGCATCTTTGCTTCTAAGGTTAAACTAGTATATATAAATATATATATATATACATATATATATATATATACACATATATGCATAATTTCACTGAATTTTAAAAGAAAGCCAACACAAATACATTTAACAATCCTGCATTTGGTACAGTTCTTAAGTTATCATATTAATTCATTAGCCTTATGATCATTTGCTGTATGGATTGTGCTGGACTTACTGTTGTTGATTTAAAGGTGAGAAAGGAGAACTCAAAAATCAGTAAGCACCACAGGAGACATGCTGCAGTGATTAGATATGCATAGCTCAGTGTGGCAGGATGTTAGTAGAGGCAGGAAAAGCATGATAGAAATGGGGTGAAAGAGAACTGTGTTTGAATTATTTTTTAAATAATTATGAAATATTTTCATAAATTATTCTTTAATCATATTCTTTTCTCTCCCACAACTCCTCTCAAATTCTCCTCACATCCTATTACCAAAACTTCATGTAATTTTCTCTCTCAAAAAATTCTCAGGAAAATAATAAAAAGTAAAAACAAAAATGAAAATCAAAGCATAGACTCAAAAAGAACAGAAAGAAGTGATGAAGGAGGAGGAGGATGTAGAAGGAGGAGAAGGAGAAGGAGGAGGAGAAGGAGAAGGAAAAGAAGACGAAGATGAAGAAGAGGAAGAAGAAGAAGAAGAAGAAGAAGAAGAAGAAGAAGAAGAAGAAGAAGAAGAAGAAGAAGAAGAAGAAGACAAAGAGAACTGACAAAAAATGCTAAAACAAATTAAAAGATGGATTTGACAAGCTGGCTCTAGACCAAGAGAAGAGAAGGCATATTACAAAACACAGAGTTGTACAAAGTCGTGGCTTGTGAGTAAAATAAATGAAAGTGAGATTACATCAGACAATCAGGCTGCTTATCCAGAAATGAGGCTTCAGATGTTCTGTACTTCCCAGTCCAGGAAAAAGTTCATGTACCAATTACTTCAGTTCAAATATCACCCCATTGTGCATGCCATTTTGAAGAATGAGAGGAGACCTAGTAATTGCCTCCACAAGCAGAGCAGACAATTATGTAACCTTTGTATGCCAGATCTCCTTTCCTCTTGCTGACCGGAACTTAACATTGTATGGTAGGACTTATGGGCTATATGACAAGGTAGACTTGGCATGCATGACAGTAAAATATTACACTGAAGGTTTTTACTCCCTAGCAGAGTTGTGCAAACAATAAGGATTAACACTGAGATGTGACAGAAGTGTGCTTTGCCCTACTAGAAAAATGTAAAGACCAAGAAACCAGGCAAATTTACCCAAAGTCAAACAACTTATTAATACTGGAACTGCAGTTTTTGGTCTGCACAATAGTACTTCTTCAGTTAGGTCACATGTTGGTCTTATCAAATAACAATGGGGCTGACATATGAGAGGAATGCCTGAGAATCTCAACGCATGATAGAGAA